CTGACTCTCCTATAGAAAAAGAGAAATCAATGAGGAATTTGTGTCGTAGTATCTCGTTTCTTTTCTTCCTTCATCTCATTTGACGATAACGTCGCCAAGGAGGACCAGGGGACGTCAGTGACGCAACGGACGCCACTTGGTGATCGCCTGCTTATTTTTTTCCAGGGCACAAACAGTGTGTGAGCATTCGTGTCTGTGCTTTGATGTGTGTTATCCAACAAAAAATGGCGAAAAGCAGCGATGAAACAATCAAAATCTTCAAGGCGGTCATCTGCAGCCTCTGCGTGAGGCATGTCGCACCCTCCGAATGCTACGAAATAACGTCATTTTTGAGAGCTGTCGATATATCTTTGGCATTAAGGTAGTATGCAAGACTTGGAAGGCCACCGCCAACGAATGTGCACGGAGTGCAGACGCAGGCAGGAATGCATGACATCACGACACAGCGTCCACTGCAATACGGAACCAGCCCAATCCATTCATTTTTGCGATAGAAGCTACGCCATAGCTATTTATATAAAATTACCCCAGTTTGCAGAAACCCAATTCCCGATATCAGGTTGACATTATTACCATTCTCATCAGCCTGACTACGCCCGTTGCAGGGCAAAGGCATCTCCCATGATCCGCCAATCAATAGGTTTTGTGCTTTCTGCTGCCACGTTATACTTGGGAAGTTTTTAGTCTCATCTGCCCATCTAACTTTCTGCCTCCTCCTCGTGCGTATGCCTTCTCTGAGAATCCAGTCAGTTACCTTTCATGGCCAGCAGTTATCCTGCCTACGCACAACACCCATGTTCATTTCTTCTTCCTCACCTCAACTATGGTATTCTTGACCCAGGTTCGTTCCCTGACCACCTCTGCTCTCTTCCTGTCTCCTAAAGTTACACCTATAATTTTTCTTTCCATCGCTCACTGCGTCGTCCTCAATTTAAGCTGAACCCTCTTTGTAAGCCTCCAGGTTTCTGCTCCTTAGGCAAGTATACCAGCAAGATGCAGCTGTTTTATACATTCCTCTTGGGGGTTAGTGGCAGACTGCCATTGATGATTTGAGCATGCTCGCCCAATGTGATTCACCCCATCCTCATTCTTCTAGTTATTTTACTCTCATCATTAGGCTGTGCGGTTACTACCCTTTAAAACTTCCAGCATCTCTTCACCTATCGAAAAGTACTGTTTTCTGCCGAGACTGTTGCAGATTACTTTTGTTTTGTGCATATCAATTTTCAGACCTATTCTTCTGCTTTCTGTGTCCAGTTCAGTAATCATGATCTGTAGTTCGTCCCCTGAGATACTCATCAAGGCAATGTCATCAGTGAATGAGAGGTTAATAATATACTCCCCATAAACTCTTATCTCTAACTCTTCCCATTCTACGCCTCTGAAAACCTCCTGTAAGCAAGCAATAAATAGGATTGGAGAGATCTTGTCTCCCAGCCTTACATATTTCTTTATTGGGATTGTGTAGCTTTTTTATGGGGAACTATGGTGGCTGCAGATCCACTGTAAATTTCTTCCAGTATGTTTATGTTGAGTTCGTCGATGCCTTGATTCCGTAGTGCATGTATTACTGCTGATGTCTTGACTCAGTCAAACACCTTCTCGTAATCTATGAAGGCTAGGTATAGGGACTTGTTGTATTTTGCGTATTTCTATATTACCTGATTGATAGTATAAATATGGTCTATTGTGGAGTAGCCTGTACGAGATCCTGCTTGGTCTTTTGGTTGAGTGAAGTCTAATGTCACCTTAATTCGATTAGCTACCATTCATGTAAATAGTTTGTAGAGAATGGACAGTGAGCTGATCGGCCTGTAATTTTGCAAGTAGTTGACGTCTCCTTTCTTATGGATTGATATTATGTTGGCGTTCTTCAAAGATTCTGGCACCCTTTCCGTCAACAGACACTTCGTATATAAGCTGGCTTTCTAACACAATTTCTCTGCCATCTTTCAGCATGTCTCTTTAAGCAGCATCTTTCAGCATTATTAGAGCCACCAAAAAGTTGACCTTCCCAGTTTTTGCAGCTTCTCATTTCTCCTTTGTTGTATATATATTTTTTTGACGGAAGAGTGCGACAGGCCTATGCAAGATGGTGTTGCCCTCCTGTACTTGAGCACAACCGAAAGCAATAGCCATGAACAGAGATTTAGATCTAAGAAGCAATAATCTCGATAAGTGCAATAAAGTAACATAATACAACGTAAAATAGTAATGAAAGTGTGCACCCTGTACGTTTGGGGAAGTGCACGTGCTCTCTGCAGTTATAATATGCTGACCGTTTTTTTTTCACCTTCTGATGTACACTACGTAGTAACCACTCTATAAACCACTTCTCAAAACGGGTATATGTATAAAATGTACATGCACCATATGATTCCGAAAGCACGTATCCCCTTGTAATATAACCCCTTGTTCAACAGGTCATCTTTTTTGTTCCAATAAATTTGCTCTGGGTGAACGGAACGCTTACACAACTGAGCATTGATGCACATTACATTCACATACAACTTTTTTTTCTTTCTAATAGACACCTTTTTTTACAGTTCTCGACAGCTACAACAGTCCAAAAAGCAGCAACGTTTCTACAGCGACAGATGCGACGCTCTTTTGCGTGTTGTTAGCAAACACTGGTTTCTTGCTGAGGGAAAAAAAACGCCTGCCATCGAGGAGCACCAAATAAAAGAGATCTCATTACCTGCTTATTCCTTATTGACACGTGGTGCCTCGGAAAGGGACGTCAAACAATATACAATTAACAGCAATCGGGGCGCAAAACAGCAGCTAATGGTAACCAGATGGTCCGCTTCTGTGAATGAAGCGGGAATTCTCGCCTGATTGATGCTGACAGGGCACCTTGTCAGTTATTGTTCATCTGTCTAATTTCATTTTTTACCGAACGACTTTGCATTATTGCTTCTTCGAACGTCCGCCAACTAAAACTGCTAAATCCAGCGAATGCGTGACGTTCGAACAGCGACCGCACGTGCTACAAGTGCCAGTGGTGCTCCGCGGCGCACTGTAGTATGCATCCCCCGAGTTTGAGTAGATCACCTTCTACCATCAGCCTCAGCTAAGTAGCATTGTAGTCTACAAATCTACAGGCGTGAGCAGATGTTCATCCTACGGGTCTAGAGCGGGCGAGCTGTAAGCTGTAGCGGGCCTTCGAGCGCGCTTGGCCGCGGGCCCGCTCGACTTTGCCGAAAGAGACTGCCTGCGCTCGACTGCAACGAGACGGCAGTCCTGCGCAGAGCAGGAGCGTACCCTGTGGCTAGAACCAGAACCACACACGATTGTGTACCGCATTTAGCCGCGTGTATAACGTGTACCTGCATTCTGTTTGATCGAAGCTCCCTTCACCATCTAAAGGCCGTTTTGCAAAAGAAAGATAGAAGAAAGTTTCTTCAAGCTGAAAAACAAGATAAGGAAACCAGCGAGGAAGAGAGAGAAACGTACGCATCGAACCAACTCTCTCACCGTATGCAGGCACCAACAAAGTGAGAGCGAAATCAACGTTCTCGCTTTACAGCTTCATTCGATAACGTTCTCAGTCGCACATCACGGTGCACGCCACCGCCATCACCTCCACGCAACAACGCAACGATGACGCGGTTTTTGCGCACCTACACCACCAGTCTTTTCCGTTGCTATTTTCTCGTTCGAACGTCTAACACCACCACGCTTACGCACGCGAGGTCCAGCCAGGCGGCTTGGCGTCTGACCACCGCGCGCACGCTATGCGCCATTTGTGGTCACTCGTCTTCACGCTACGCTCGACCTAATACAGACGCCAATAATCGTCTGTCGTCCCAGCTGTCAACATCGTTGGAAACATTCCGTCTCGTGAGGCCTGCTGGATGCCTAACCTGGCCAAGGACAAGTCCTACAAAAGTACAAGTCCTACACAGAGATGGAAAGAAGGCGTGCAGCTGACGAACACTGACGCACTGGGCCACTTGAATGAAAGCTCTCCAAAAATCGAAAATCAAGTAACCGGGCTTTTTTTTTTGACACCGACCGCTCTGGGATAGGGAAGATCGTCGTCAATTGAGTACGTCACAAATTCAAGCTGTCGCTTATCCTAAATGCTACTATACGTCTTCATTGGACGTCACCATTTCAGCCGCATATATTCAAGACGGAAAGTTTGTTGGCCGACATTTATTGCCACGATTTTGTCGAGAGATTGTGACGTACTTCTTGCCCACGTTCTACATTCAGAAAAAAAAAACAATTCTTCATAGCTATTAAGGAAATTTAACCTTCTCTCCACGTCTAAGTTCAATGCACAGTTACCATATCTTTTTTCTCTCTCATATATATATATATATATATATATATATATATATATATATATATATATAACTTGTCAAAGCAACAAACAGAATATCACAAAAGAGTGCTCGGCGCACATACCTAATCGCTGAAGAGAAACCATTCGATTATTCGATATAATATGCCTCTCTTTGATTCATTTGTCAAGAGCATATATTAACCGATAAAAAATGACAGCGCAGAGAACACTCACAGCAGCACTTTTTTTTTCTTTTCCTCGGTCAATCACGTTACACCATATAATCTTGACCTCACCTGAGCCGCTTCTCGAAATGTCGGTTTGAAAAAATGCTGCTCAATGGCTTAACGTCGAGGGAGTTTCGAAGATCACTCTAGCTCGCTAATCACTTTATTTCCCCTTTGTTCGCGCATGTGTACATAGTATATCTGTGTGCGCAAGTTAGATATATATATAATTTTCTTTAAACATAGTCGCATTTGTACAAACTTTTTACACGTTTGAGCATGATGTCATCATTATCTTTTTCTTTACAAGTAGTAAACTAGGAGAAGTCTCTCCACCGCCATTCTTCTCTTCCTACGCTCGCAGTGGTAACGCTATAGTGGTAAAATTCTGTACATGTTAGCGTACTCTGACGCGGATGCCCATGTGCGAAACGAGAGAGAGGGGGGAAGAATAGAGAACTACAGAAGAAGAGAAAGGGTCAGAGGGGCTCACCGTGGCTGCCACCCAACGAGTTTTTGTAAACAAGGATCCCAAACTGAAGGCACAATATACAATAGAAACGTTGTCCTGCATAAATCCTGTCCCGTGTTTCCACTACACGGCATACAAACAGCACGGCGCCCAGTGCTCCGCGCCGGTAATACCGACCAATGTAGTGAGTACGCACCCGTTTGTGCGAGTAGAACAACGATGCAGATAGGACACGCCGCGGCAACAGCACTGGCTGTGCCCAAGACAAGAGGAGGCAAACCAAAGACGTTGTCTGCATGTTTGTGCCCGACTGTCGGTTACCAAGATTGTGGGGACGTGAGTTGAGGGTGTGGGGGTGGGTGAGAGATCGAATTTGGTGGGTGTCGTGGCATTCTTTGGTTGCTCGGTGGCAGGCATCCGCGCCCACAGAGGAGTCCATCAGTGGGAATGCATAGCTTGTTCTTTGTCTGTGTCCGGCCCTGCCTCGGCGCAGTCCACAAAGGTGCCAGAGATTCGGGGGTTGTGGCGGAGGGGAATGAAGGGAGACGGACCGCTTGTTCCCTCGTGTCCGGGAATTGATATGCGCTGCCGCCGGGTGTGCCTGCGTGCGCCACAACCACGGTCCCAGCTGCTGATGCGGCGCGACATCGTGAAAGAAAGAGGGAGAGGCTGCCGGGAAGACGACGCCCTGCTGCTGCTGTAGCCGATGGCAGACTGCACTGTTCCGGACAGGAGGGTCGGCTCCCACTGCACGGTCAAGCGTGAGAATCACACTGGCGTTTCGAAAGTAAAATGGGTACATTCATTGTAAAGGACGTAAAGCGTGCACACATAGACGGAAGAGAAAAAGAGTCAAACACAATTGCGTCTCTGTTTTGTTCGTGTCTACAAGCGTTTCCTTAATTCTTAGAATAAGTATCGCCTCTCGGACTGTGGACAGAAATCAGAGTGAACGCGATGTGACAGGGCTGATTTAACTTTCAGCGTACAATGTGGTGCTGTTGACTTAGCCAACAAGCAAGCTTTGACAATTTACTTAGAAGACTCCAGTTTTCATATTTTGGTTTCAACTGGTATAACTATGTTTCATCGTGAAGAAAAATGATGTTTGAACAAAATAGGTGCAGAACGAAATGTCCCCAACACACAGTTGATAACCTCAAGCGTACAAGCCGGGCTTCAAATCGTAATTATGAGGTAGCTCTCATACCGTGATACCGCGAACGTCTGGAGGAAAGAAAAAGGCAACCCAGAAAGCACCTGCGCGTCCATCTTATGCTCACTTTTTGCTTCACACTGTTAAGTTTATTGTACAAAGATCAATAGGGAAAGCCAACACACCAATACGTCTTCATATTTATTTGCCGAAGTTGGGTACTAGCTACTATGCGAACAATGCAGACCTATGCTTGCGCTTACAATTGCCTGACTTTGTGAGCGCATTCTTTACACATTTTATTATACAACAAATCAACGCATTACTGATGGCAGAAATTTTAATGTAAGCACGCAACATTTTACGGGTACGTTTACAAAAATAACTACAGTTTGCTCACGTTTGAATGAATGAATAACTGTGAGTAACCTGCCATTCACAGTAAACTCGTTTACATATTCAACCAAGATATAAGAAGAAATAAGGAGAAAATCCGAACAAAAATTTTAAGAGCCAGCTTTATTGAACGCACAAGTGTTATGACTCACGTGCTGCATTATCATATTACATACATTGGCACCATGAAGAGAGATAGCCTAACGTTTAGCGCTTAATGTCTGAATGAAAGAGACGTCAAGAACTTGCCTCGTTTGTCAATGATGCCGATAAAAAAGTATGCCCCGCAGCTGAATCACACTCAACTATCCTTACGATACCTAGAACACTTACAGATATATAGTTCACTACAGGGATATATTAGAAAATATCCTAAGCAAAAGAATAAAAAAAATGAATCTGTATAATATCTGAGAGCAGTTAGCCGGCCGAGTTGCGGTTCCAGGCTGGCAAGCTTGTTTCACTGCAGCAGTACTTGTATTGCAACAAAGCACATCATTACTTGCTGGCAGTATGCGCGATACATCTCCCATAACAGTATTGACGCCCGCAGAAACTCACATCAGTGCAAGTTCAACATTCCATTAAATAAAATGCTGTCAACTCCGTAGCATTCGACCAGCGATTCCAGTAGTCAAACCGCGTCCAGTTTATCCAACAAAATGTTCGTTTAATCGGCATGCTTTTTTACTCGTTACTGTTTTGAACGCAATAAATGGCTTCGGGCTAGACATACCTGATTCATAGCAGGTACTCTACTAGGGGAATAACGAATTTGATTCTCTAGAGAAACTGTTGATGTCTTCTAAACAACAACAGAGCAGGATGCATGCTGACAGCCTCTTCAAACTCACTGCAGAACTCGAAGTTTATTGCAAGCGCGAAAACACATAAGGAATGTAAGATTGTGTGGTGACGTACCTGTCATTTCAAAAAGAGTGATTCAGACTACAAGAATGGTTACAGTTGGTCTTCTAGGTGGTTGAGTTCAAGTTTCTTCCTGTTGTGGAACTTTCCGTAGTGACAGTGGTGGTGGTGGTGATGCTGATGGAGATAACCTGCAGTCAGTCATATAGAAAGGAGATTTTAACGAAGAGGGGATGCCAAAGAGAAGTATACCAACTGTTCAAAACAACAGGCGCACAATTTCACAATCGATCGAACACTCGCACTCCGTTAACGATAAGCGACATTGCACATGGTGGGTCATATGAGCACTGTGGTGAAACAAAGCGTTCAAAGCGCCAGAAGACGCAAGGTTGTCAAATATCATGTTACCCGGAATTTATAACCCTCGTAGAAATCTCTGTAAGATGTCTTATGAGTTTATAAATAAGAAGTGATATTTGTTTATAGCAGCTGAGAATCTTCATTTACGGAAAAGACAACCATTCAGAGGAATATAAATTGTACATCAGTGACTGTGATTTAATATGAAAACAACACACAATATCTCAAAAGTAAGGGTAAGACTTTGAAACTGTACTCACGCAAACATAAAAAAAACAAAAATAACTCACAATAAGGTAGAAAAGAAAACAAGCTAGCATTCGTCTTCCGAAAGAAACCCCGAACCCACCAGTTTGAAAAGCATTAAAAAAAATCGGGAAGAGACCACAAAAAATATATAACGAATATACAGAAAGATAAATAGAACAGAGGGAGGCACACCGTATCACATCACATCAAGGACAAATGATGACAATCAAAGGCAGGCGTTCAGCTTAATTTCTCATAAGAATGCAAACACAGCCTTGTGCGCTTTGATGCCCAATCATTTGTAACTTCTGCGATTGAACCCCTCAAATTGACGCGCAGAATGGCGACAGAGCAGTGGGGGCTACAAAATAATTTCGTCCACACCCACTGCATCAAAGCTGTCGCATATTTTTGCAGTACTCTTGCGTAACCCTTCGATACTTCACTACGTAATAGGTTCAGCTTTTGAAAATAATATTTAATTAATTATGACCGTGACCTGGAGTGTTTCGCTTTGTAAAACAGATTTCAGCACACAGAGATGTGCCAGTTTCGTAAACGTTTCGCTATCGGCCTCAAAAGCGATAACCGATGTGACTGCTTACCATTGTCATGAACCGGTGCGAAGGAAGCGTATCGTTCCTACACGGAATGGCAAGGAGCGCCAGAATTACGGCGCGCGTAGGTTTGTCACGTAGCATTTTTTTTTATTTCACGGGCATTTGTAGTTAGCAGAACAACACTGATGTTTAGCAGATATAAAGTTCGATACTGTCTGATCGGACGTTTTGCAAATCAGTTCACATCTTTCTCACTGAATTTTTTTACCAATCGTCGGCGTTGCTTCAGAAGTTAGTCAGTTGAAAGGGTCTGATATAAACAATTGATCATAACACGAAAAATAGTTTGATTCATTCCAGACAACGGTCAGAAACACGCATTTGGACGCATTGTAATTGCGGGTGTCGGTAAATTTTTGAAATCTGGCTAAGGATAGCCGAGGCACCCTATATTTCTTATTATGTTTATTATTGTTTGTCTTTCTTGGTTATTATAACCTGTTGTATAACTCGCTCGCCGTTTTCGCCATGTTCCACCTTTGTTTCTACTTTTTGCTTCCCCTGATTTGTCCTCGGACCATAGTAGAGGTATTAAAAAAACACTAGTAGACTCGGAAACGAGTATTTACCATCGGCGTTGCTAAATAAGAAAATTTGCAAAGTTTTCAGGAGGCAGTCATCTCCAGCCTTGAAGTGCGCTAACTTGCACGTAAGAACGAAAATAAAACGCGTTCATGTCATGAGGTGGCCTCTATAGTGTTTGCTCGGCCCGGCTTTTTCATTAAATGACCCACCATCAGATTGGAAGATCAGCGTGGGCTTTGCGGAATGCTACAGCGACAGGTTCTCAATATCAAGATCAGATCGTTTGCTTTCAACAGGAATGCGAGAGTACCGTAGTTTTCGCCTATTGACTGTTCTCGCCGACTCTAGCTCGCTCGCAGTAAACGGATGACGCTTATAACCAGCTCAAATTTTGTTGCCTCAATGACTGTCGTCTCAAGGCCCACTGCGTCGCATTCGCCACTTTGAAAGTTAAGAATCTGCAACTATAGCGGCAACGTCGCGAGTGTGTTTAACCTCTCATTGGACACTGCAAGCGCTTGTAACAAGCGTATAACCAGCGATACCCGACACATCATTTGCCTGATGCAGCAATGCTTCTTTTCGTTTAATTTTTTTTTCATGGTAACACATGGGGTTTTTCACCCCAAAACCACGATATTATTATGGGGGACGCCGAAGAAGAAGGCTCTGGAAATTCTGACCATCTGCTGTTCTTTACGTGACATCGCGCAGCACAGGGGCCTCTGGGATTTCGCCTACATCGCAATGCGACCGCCGCGGCCGGGTTCGTACTCGCAACCTGCGGGTCCGAGCAGCTGAGCGCCGTAACCACTGATCCACCAAGGCAAACTATACTTATTTTATGTTCTTTGTTTCACTCACACGTATGGCTCCATTGCACTATCACACAATATCAACGAAATTCAGATATCATTATTATCATTATGGCTTTTTATGTACGGAATGACTTTCTAAAATGGGCATTTCTTTTTTGAATGAAACAAGCGGCGACTCTAATATGCAGTCTTAAGACATTAGTGAAAACAAAAATTAAGACTGAATCCTGTGAGAAACCCTATGTGTTTGAAAGTGTGCGAAATTGAATGCATGTGACAGCGAAGATATTCAGTAAAAACCTTGATCGTTCGGTTGCACAGCAAACCATAAAGAATTGCTGTCACTTCAATACTTACATCTGGCAACAAACAAATATAGGTTATTAAAAGAAAATGACAGGCTTATACCATTATTACGAACTTGTTCAACGATACACGCCAATCATAAAGCTGCGGAGATTACACGCAACGGATCTGACAACCCTCTCTCACGCAGATGTGGGGCCGATGGATGGATGAATTTCATAAGAATCCTCGGAACGCGTTGTGGGCCGCTGCCACGTCCTATGCCATAAATTTGTTTTTCCCCACGATAAAAGGTGGCGTAGTTACATCCCCTTTATACCATATACGCTGGCGATCTGTACGAATTGCCCAGCTTCCGCGGTGATCTACGGGTTATCGTGCTCACCTGTTGACCCGAGGGTCGCGAAATCGAGTCCTGGCCACATTTTTATAGAGCCGAAATGCTAGGGGCCCACATTTAGGAGTACGTTAAGGAACCCATAGTGGATATTTCGGGAGCCCTACGCTGCGGCGTTTCTCGTGATATCATCGTTTTGGGACGTAAAACCCCAACCATTATTATTATAACGACGTTCCTTACACCTTTAAAATGCTTGCTCGCCTCCTATTATTGCTCTCTTACCATGGAAATATTTGCCCTCCTTCTACAACTCTCCTACCCCTCCCTGCTTAGCGTCCAGCGCTTTCGTCGGGACGAGAGAAAAGAGAATGTGATTGCAGCGTGTGACACATCTCAGCAATTCCGCTTGTACTGAATGGATTCTTAAAATTTATGCGGCATTGAATTTGTGAGGCACTCACGTTGAAAAACGCTACCATTTCTTTTTTTTTCCTTTTCGCGCATTCACTTTACTACATTTTTTCGAGTAAACAATTTGCGCATTCCATAAGTTTGTACTTTAGCAAAATTATTGTCGTATTTCTGTGTTCCAAGCATACCGCATTGATTTGCTTATGTTAAGCGTAATGATTAGCCGTCGGCAAAGTTCACAATGCGACCAGTATGAGTACGTACTTTAAAGGGGCCCTGAAAACATTTTGAGCATGTTCCGAAAACGCTGCCAATAGGTAGTACAGGCTCCCGAGAACACGCGAGCCAACTGTTATAGTGCAGCACGCGGTCTGGAATTCACAATAAATTATCATTCAGATGAAAATTGCTTACTCTTCTCTCGACAGATGACGGAAGATGCTCCAAAATCACACGTAGAATGCCCATATATCAGCCATTGGCTGATTTGAACATGGCGCGCGCGCTCATTACAGAGATCGCCACGGGAGGCCGCCACTTGTCCACGCATGCGCGTGAGATTTCACTGATAAAGCCACGTATTGGAAGAAAAAAAGAAAAAAAAACGCAAAGCGCACGTGTCGTTTTTTTTTTTTTTTTGACCCTCCTACCCCTTCCTGTTTAGCGTCCAGCGCTTTCGTCGAGACGAGAGAAAAGAGAATGTGATTGCAGCGTGTGACACATCTCAGCAATTCCGCTTGCACTGAATGGATTCCTAAAATTTATGCGGCATTGAATTTGTGAGGCAATAGACTCTTCCAGTGAAATAATTCTATGGTTACTTAAAAAAATGTTTCAGGGCCCCTTTAAAGTGAGACTGGGAGGAAGGGGCGATTCGCAAACTATATTTACAAGTCCTGAGACAATTCTTGCACGTTAGGTTTTCGAGCGTTCAGTTTCGCCTCACGTCCGCAGTGGTAGTAGAAACTCTTTCTCTGTTTACAAACAGAGGTGCTGGACGGCTTCCGGTTTTGTGCCGGTCCAGCGTGGCCAAGGAGCACTGACGGGGAACGAATGCTTTAGCGAGCAGTCCGCTCATTTTTGACACTTTTCTTTCCTTCTCTGGACAAATAATTCAAATACATTTCCTTGAAGCTACACACAAGATTACAGGAATTAGTCGCTAACTTTAAGTGCCTTTCTTTGCCCCGCCGCGGTGGTCTAGTGGCTAAGGTACTCGGCTGCTGACCCGCAGGGCGCGGGTTCGAATCCCGGCTGCGGCGGCTGCATTTCCGATGGAGGCGGAAATGTTGTAGGCCCGTGTGCTCAGATTTGGGTGCACGTTAAAGAACCCCAGGTGGTCTAAATTTCCGCAGCCCTCCACTACGGCGTTTCTCATAATCATATAATGGTTTTGGGACGTTAAACCCCACATATCAATCAATCAAGCGCCTTCCTTTTACCAGGAAGCGGGGAAAAAAGTTTTTCCTTACTCTGGCATAACTAAAAAAGCAAGTTTTTCACTTCAGCGTTAGACAGTGATAACTGAAGTAACCAGAAGTTTCTTGGGAAGCAACACG